GTACTGTTCTACACTTTGGAATCTTGTTTGCTTAGTAAATCTCCTGGATCTCAGCTTTTGTCTTTTGTTTAAATGAATGTTACTGATTCCTAATCGGATTGTAGCAAAATCTGAGGGTTTAGGATACCAAAATAATATGGCGATCTTTTATAATATAGAATTGGTGGCCTTGCCTGGGATTACAAGTTTTATAAGTCTCCTGAACAGAGTACATGTTGTGAAAAAGAAACATTTCTGTGTATGACGTTTGTATGCAAATACCATATTAAAAAGCCATCAGAATGTTTAGGTAAACTTCAGCTTTTTCACATGTTCTTTATTTACACACTGGGCCACAGATCAGAGCATGTTCAGTGAACAAACAGAATGTAAAATAGTAGTACAGTTGCAACCAATGGGCATTTTTAAGCATCCATGGACAATTTTTTAAACAAATAAATTAGTGCTGGCAAGCACAAAAATACCGAAAACTGATATTTCAATTGAAGGTCAAAAGAACAACAGTGTTTACCTCAGAATGCCAGGGATTCCGCACTCGGAGAAAGAATGGCCTTTTTAATAAGATCCGCAATATCATCTCACATGACGTACTCAGATCCGAGAAATACTGTTTACCATGCAGAGTGGAAACCTGCTTAATGTAAAGTTTATAGTGCAGGGCAGGATTGTAAGACTGCCTAATACCATGATTATACTACAGGGAAACATGTGTCAGATTGCACGGTAATGCAGCTATGCATATAAGGTACAGCATAATACTGCAGGCTTGTTTAATTATCACTTAGACTTTGCAGCTATAATACATACTAATTGGATCCATGGCATATTCTGTTCAACATCTTATTTATAAGAAACAGCATCATCACAGTCCCATCTGATAGCTTTTGTCTACCATGGAGTGATGCAATAAATCTGCCTAATGTTAATCTGGGGTTGAAAATTCTTTCCAACTGCAAGTATTTCTGTAATATGGGGCTGGTAGACTTCACAATTTGAATCAATCGTATTAGCGATAGATTCACAACAGTGACAGCAAATTGTTCTGTTTGCAACTTTAGATTGTCAGCCCCAGAATTACGCTGAGTCTAGTTTACATGAAATTGAACCCAGAGTTAATCTCAGGCTTTGCTTATATAACTAACCCTGGAGTTACTCTGTGCCCTGTTTTTATGTAACACTGGCCCCAGAGTTAGTCTCTAAGCCTTGTTTATATAACACTGGCCAGACAGTGACTCCCTGAGCCTTGTTTATGAAGCACAATGCAGAGGTATTCTCTGAGCCTTGGTTAAATAACATTGAGGGCAATATTATTCTCTGAGCCTTGTTTATATTACATTGGCCCTAGAGTTACTTACTCTCTGAGCCTTGTTTCTACATTAAATACGCGTGTTTATTAATTTGCTTCTGTGAGGTGCAAAATTGTGCTTTGCAAAATTCACTTTGCATTCCAAATGTTTTATAATAATAGATCTATTTCTTTCCTTTCTTTATACGGAATAATTCTTTTCTCATGTCTTACTTGATTGAAGTGTCTGCCAGAGGAAGATAACTGAATAAAACACAAACATGTGCTTACCAATCCTCCAGCATTTTAAATAATTAACACATCTCTCATCAAAGTAATTGCTGTATCAACTACTGTACCTAGTAACCATTCAGTAAAATGAGACATGCAGGACTGCAACCTGCTTAGAGGTTTCAGGGATTGTTACACAAGAAGAGCTGATGAACCATTACAAACACTGAGCTAGGATCATAAACCTCTACATTCAGCTCTCTCATCCCTGCACAATGATGTGGTTTCATTTTAACCCATTGGCAGCCAACACATAGTTGTCTTCTATGCTCAGTTGGCACTTCACTGTTCACACACCTATACTATGAAGTCAAGATCATCACTGACATTACTAAATATTAGGAGATTTGTTACTAAAGCACTAAACTACATCCACTTATTTATCATCTTCCGACTTACCAGCTCCCTGTAGCCCAGCAGGAAGTTCAGGCTGAAGGAAGAGAGATTTCTGACGCTGAAGTTTGGGCTTGTTCTCCTTCAAGTAGAGAAGGATAAGAAGAGATTTGGTAGAGGTGTTTAAAATCATGAAGGTTTAGGTCAAGTTAAGGAAGAGAAACTGTTTCCAATGGCCTGAAGATAGATAACCAGAGGGTACAGATTCAGATGAGTGTCGAAAGAAGCTGAGGAGACGTAAGGGGAAAATGATTTGGGATAATGAGTGATCAGGATTTCGATGTGCTGTCTGATAAAGTGATGGAAAACAATTCAATCGTAATCTTCTAAAAGAAATTAGACAAATGCTTTAAGTAGAGCAATAGGCAGCAACAGGGGGAAAGAATAGGGATTAACAAATGGGATTAACTCCATTCCTTTTGAAAGGTCTGGCCCAGAATGTTTTCTGTTTTGTACCACTCTGCGAATGGACGACATTGGCCTCCATCCTGACATTTTCTAAAACTTCCTACTTATTTATTCTTGGTTTTAAGAAACACATGTCAAACTGGAAAGTGACTCTGTGGAATAGGTGCCCAGTCAATGGTCTTAGGAGCTGGACAAGACAGAGGCTGTTTGACAAGTGATGTGCTTGTGATTATAGCCTATTTTCTGGTTCAGTCACTATGTGTTTAGGAATATAGGAACAGGAATAGGCCATTCAGCCAGCCAAGCCTGCTTCACCATGTAATACAATCATGGCTGTCCAAACCCTTCATTGCCTTTTAACCACTCTGTCCCATCATCTGTTACTCCATTGAAAATCAGGAATCTATCAAACTCTACCTTAAACATACTCATAGACCATGCTTGTGTAGCTCTCTGTGGTAGAAAATTCCAAAGGGTTAGCACCATTTCCAGCATCCATTCTCAGTTCGATCCTAAATGGCATGCCCTTTATGTTTGAATTGTGCACTCTGGTTCTAGAACCCCAACCAGGGGAAACATCTTACCTGCACTTATTCTGTCTTTGAGTATTAAATATCCCTTTAGGCATTTTGTCAGTTTCAATGAGATTACCTCTTGTTCTTTGAAACTCTAGAGAATACAGGCCCGGTTTGTCCAATCTCCCTTTGTAGGAGAGTTTAATTATCCAGGTAAGAAGTCTGATGAACCTTCATTACACTCCCTCAATGGCAAGAATATCTCTCCTGAGATAAGGGAAGGTAGCCATATGCTTAGGGGTTGGATTGGGATGAAATTGAGCATCTTGGAGGTGGGTCATTTGGAGGAAATTAACTTGATGAGGGCTGAATGAGGAGGAAGACAGCTGCTTGATGTTTCTGGCATTTTCCAGCGTGATTTCACTAAATTGTAATCTGGAGCAGGAACGCTGGCTGATCATTTGGTTAATATGATTCAGTCACACACTGCCACTATAATTGTGCACTGGGTGGGTGACTTTACAATTTTCTTTGTAGGTAGATAGAACAGGATGGCTGAAAGGGTTATCTGCATTTATTGATATACTTATACAATTATCTATCTCTGACTGTCTATTCATTTCATTATCTACTTAACTCTTCTACAAGTATAACCCTTCCCATCTGTCTGTCTTTCTATCTCTCTCTCTCTGTCTATTTATTTACTGCAGTCTCTATTTATGCCTCATTCGCTCTTGCAAGTATCAATCTGTATCACTCTACCTCTGTTCCCAACTCTCTCTTTTGATATAAACTGTTTGATGTACCTGATTTATTTTGCATTTCATTTACTTTGTGTTCACATTTTAAATTATTTGTCATTAATTTATGAGTTTTCTGTGTCTCTGAAGTTAGTAATTAATTTGTAGGTATGGTGATTTCTTTTAAAACAGTTTGTGTGGGTTATTTTGGCAGCTTTATGGGTTTTGTTCACTTTAGGCTTTTATTACTTAGCAGGGTACATCATTGTGCATCAAGGCTTTTTTTATAAGATTATGGAAACCATCTATAGCTTCGAGGAAGGAATTTTTGATTCAGTTTTTCTTTGTTTTGGGCAGTTCTGTGTAATCCTTGCAGTGAGATGCATGTGTAAAGAATGCTCTTGTGAAGGAGAGAACATAGTGACTCTAGACTACTTTAGAATAAGGAGTTAATGTTAATTCCAGAATGAGATGTTAGGATAAAACCCTGAAGAGGACTTGAAGTTGGGTTTGATTACATGAAGGTATATGATAGCTCCAGGAATAAGTTAGCAGAGGTTCCATCTTAGGAATTAAAATCCCAGTTACCTGAAACCTATAGGGGTGTGGGTGTTACAAGAAAATGTTTTGTTTTGAAACTTTCTGGGATTATACTTCTACTGTGTATTCCAAACTCATTGACTTCACCTTATAAGTATATAGATCAGCTTTTTCCAGTTTATCTTCATTTCTTTCACTTAACACATTTCTGATTTACTGTGAAAACAAGATCTGCAATATTATGTGCTTGTGTTTCAGTGAGAGACCACCTCATTAAAACCAAAGCAAAACAAAATATGGCCTATCAAGCCAGAATTTAGCCTGGGATTTGACATGTCCAGTCTGATAACATCAGCTGAGATCATAACATTCTGTGTCTCTCTTTATCTCTTCCTTTCAGTGGCAATTCTAAAGGGATTCTCTGGCAAAGTCTCTGCCCACCATTGGACATTGCCATGGGACTGACCATTCAGGCAGGAAACAGAAACCAAGTTGGTGTTTGCATTAAAATCTCACAGTGGGAAGGCAGCCTAAATATAGGAACATGAGAAATAGATGTAGTGTGCGGAGCTCCTTGTGCCATTCAATAGAGTCAGCCACAGAATTACCCTTCCCTCAAATTCCAGATAAAGCTTGATCAAAAGTGGCACAATATAAATTGGTATCTTCAAAATTCATTGTTAAAATGCATGTTTGGCTGTACCTTATGAAGGACTGGGAAACATGCCTTACATTATAATTAGATTTTATTCCGCTAATCTAAGGATTAACTGCAACCATTGCAAATGAAACAGGCCAGAAAGAATTGTTTGGATAAATAAAACCTACTGCACTCTTAGGATCAATCTTCGGTCTCTCCATGGCAATAGTAATGCAGTTCAGGAAGATAATGACCAGAACAATGTGGTCGAACATCTTGTGCGAAATAATTTTGCTGCAAATGAGGCGGATCCTGAAAAGAGAAAATGATCCATTGACCTTCTACGCAGAACAAACATGGCAAGTCATGCACATCATCTCATAAGCAATGACCAAGCCGAGCAGATGTTGTTGTACTCAGGAAGTTCAAAACCTTGTGGTATGTTGTAAGTACGGAGAAACTCTCTCCAGTTGCAGAAGCACACAAATTCGAGATAACTGGCTAAAGAACGAAAGGCAACTTTGAAATGAATATCCAAATGGTTTATATTTGCAACATGCTATCTGAAAGGGTAGTGGAAACAGATTCAATATAACTTTCAAAGGGAGGTGGATTAACTTTACGAAAAGGCGAAATGAGTGATTAAGCCCTGGAGCAATCCAAAATCTTAAGTGGGCCTCCACATTCCTCTCTTTCCATGTATCCTGCCAGCATTTCCAGTTCACCATATGTACATTCTGGAGTTGTATTGAGTCACCAATCGAATGTGCATTGGGTTTCTCCGCGTTAACAGATTAGCTTTGTTTTTAGTGCTGAGAAACTGTCCCTCTATCCCTATTAATCCCTTTTGCTAAGCTCCTTTGCCATTGCAGCTGACTACTTGATGAATGAATGTACTGTCTGAGCCCGTATTGAAGAATCCAACTGCAAATGATCAAAGTGAAAGACTGGGTACATGCAAACGTACGAATAAATGACATGCTTGCATCGATATGCGGTCCTTCTCAATCTCATAATATCTCATAACACATACTATAATAGGTTCTTTTCTAAGAGTAAAATGAAACAAAGAACTGCAAATGCTGAAGATCTGAACCAAATACAGAAATTGCTGGAGAAACTCAGAATGATCACTGGATTCAAAACATCAACTTTGCTTTCTCTCCACAGATGCTGCCAGACCTGCTGAGTTCCTCCAGCAATTTCTACTTTTGTTTTTTAAGAGCAGTTGATGTTGTAATTGCAGAACAAGGCAGCCACGTTTTAGAAATAACACAAACTAGAATGAAATAAAAGGTAGGATCAATTGTATTAGGTATTGGGGTTGAAGGATAAATATTGATCAGGACATCAGACAGAGCTTTTCTCCTTTGCATTAGATCTCATATATACATACATAAAGAAAGACTGGACCTTGGTTTAATATCTCATTTAAAAGACAACATGACTGATATCCCCAGTGCAGGCTGTCAGCTTAGATTTTCTATCCAAGACTGGAATTTCTCAGAGGCCCTTGCCACTTGTTGAAAAGTTGCGAGGTGAGCTCGCCTCCACAGAGGCAGGAAGCCACGTCTCAAACTTACAGCTGTCAAGCTTTAATTAACTAAGGTGGTGGCTTCTATCTCGATATGCAGTGTCACTGAGAGTGGTAGCCCTTTCTGGGACTGCTAGAATGACGAGATGCATGGTTTCAAAGGTGAGTCAGGGAGGTTTTGCCCAAATAGGATGGCCTCCTGTCCACTGAGCTCATGCCAGGTGGCATGATTTACTTTGGTCAGAGACGTCCCTTACCACCGGCAAAATACTAATGATTTGGCTACTGAAGGGCCTCAAATGCTGCAAGGGTAAAAGGCTGGTTCCATCTGCTCCAATAAAATTAGAAATTGCTGGAAAACCTTAGCAGGTCTGGCAGTATCTGTGGAGCGAAAGCAGAGTTAACTTAACGGAACCAGTGACCCTTCTTCAGAACTCCACTGGACCCAGAACGTTAATTTTGCTGTCTCTCTCCACGGACGCTGCCAGGACCTGCTGAGTTTCTCCAGCAATTTCCGAATTTGTTTCTGATTTCCATCATCCGCCGTTCTTTTTGTTTTGCATCTACTCCATTTCCTGGTAAAGTAACAGCAAAGGTAGGTGGGTTAATGCACATAATAGCCTTGTCATGGCCCAATTTTTATGGAACCCCTCCTCCTGTTGCCCCGGCCCAGCCACGTGCTGTTGGGCAAAGGGTGTGTAAAATTCTGGCTCAAGTCTCTGGAGTAGGATTTGAACCCACAATCCACGACTCAAAAGTGGCGACTCTATCACCACTGAACTGTACAGAACTCTTCAAAGTTTAGAATGCCTGTGAATGCTGACTTTGCTGTTTTGGCTCGTAAGTAACTTTGATAAATAAACATCTGGGACCTTTTCAAAACCTAGCTCCCAAATCTGGAAACAAACAACTTGCAGCTCAGAATCTTTAAGTTGGTTTTATGCCATTTGTCAAAATTGAACTTGTTTTCCAATCATTGACTTGAAAGCTGTGATTGTACTGTACTCTGCACCTTGGCAAAATGCCCACATAACAGGGTGACTATCCTTTAAATTCACCCTGACCAAAAAAAAAAGTAACTGCAGATACTGGAAATTGGAAATGAAAACAGAAATTGCTGGAGAATCTCAGCAGGTCTGGCAGCAGCTGTGAAGAGAAAGCCGAGTTAACATTTTAGATTCAGTGACCCTTGTTCAGAACTGTTCTGAGCAAGGGTCACTGGACCTGAAACGCTAACTCTGCTTTCTCTCCATAGATGCTGTCAGACCTGCTGAGTTTTCCCAGCAATTTTTGTTTTTGCTGTAAATCAACCTATTGATATCAACAAAAGAAACAATATGACTGGGAGATCTGTCACTAAAACATCTACTTCTACCTTTGCTACATTGTCAGATTCAGTTTTTGCCTCAGGACCTCAGCTGTTGAACCTCTCTGGAACTTTGGTTGGCTCCAGACCTGGCAATTCTAAGGAAGTCTTGAAATCCTCCAGCAGTCTACCGTTCCTAAACTTGAGTTCATCCAATACACTGATATCCATATCTAAACTCGTGGTAAATCCTATTCGCCCTTCTTCCAATTGCTTGCTGAGCTACACTGGTTTCCCAGTTAAGCATCACTTTGATTGTAAAGATTTTGTCTATGTTTACAAACTCCTCCATGGATTTACCCTCCCTTTCTCTATAACCTCCTAGAACTCCCTGACATATCTACCTTCCAATAATTCCCGTGTAGTAAGCAATAATTAATCGTTGTAGCAGTTGCGGCCACGTCTTCAGCTGCCTGGGCCCCCAAGTCTCTGGAATACCCTCTTGAAATCTGTATGCCCCTGCAACTCAAAGTTCCAATCTCTGTCTCTTTAAATCCCATCTCTTGGACCTCAGGTTTTCTGTCCTAATGTCTCTTGATGTGGATCAGATCAGATTCTGTTTGGGCACGTTTGCACTGGGACATTTGACACCATTAAAGGTAACGACATGAATATCAATTGGGTGTGCGGCAGAGTTTGTCCTGCACTGTATAGACTGTGGCTGTTCAAGATGGCAGCTAACCATCTTCTTCTCAAGGAATGGATAATAACTGATGGTCCAAACAGCAACGGCAACATCTTGTGAATGAATAAATAAAGAACTTTTGATACTGAGCGGGGCAAGGATTTGTTAGTTTTCTAACCCTGTGTTTTGCCATCTCAAAAGAAAAAAAATCCAAAGTGTTAACGGAAGTTTCCGCCTTTAATTTCATAGCAACAAGTCTACTGACTTTAGTTTCTTACTTGGACTGTGGAGGGAACAGATAAAGTGACCAGCCTTCTCGTTCTCTGAAACAGGGTGGCAACTTGGCTTGAATCCATGCCCGCAAACGTGCTCTTTTACCCTGTGGAAACAAGTTGGCACCCATCAGTCCTGTTCGAAGTCCTCTCACTGAAAACGGAAAGTTTCACTGCTGTGGTAGAGGTCCTTCCTTCTTTTATGGGCACAAGCAACAATGAGCTTAACAAACCCGCGTACACACAAAGTACAGGCATTTGTAATGAATTTAGTAAGTACTTCAAACTTCCAAAGAAGTTTTTAAAACAACACGGAACAAAGTGATTCGGATTCAAACAAATTGTTTCTGATATGGAAACATCTGCTGGCCGTGTAGCACAGAGGAGCAAACTCAGTGAACATGCCTTACTGCTAACGCACTTGGTTTTGGAAAACTGACTGATTTATCTGATTGACCCGACAATTTACATCTGCTTCATCTCAAGTGGCTTTCAAATTTACTATATTTATGTAGACTGCAGAGAAACAATGACAGAGCTTGCATTAATTTTCGACTGAGACATGTTCACTAAGAACTAGAACAGCCAAAAGCTTATCTCATTGTGAAACGCTTTTGGGAGAGCCATGCAGGCAAGTGGATCAGCGAGGAGGTTGATGACTGTGTGAAGGAGGTTAAGAGAGAGCAAGAGGGCGAGATGGAGACAGAAACAAACAGGAAGAGTAAGGGGTCACCTACTCAGGACAGGAATGAGGAGGAACTTTTTCTTCTCAGACGGTAGTGAATTTGTGCAATTCATTACAGCAGAGGGCTGGGTCAAAAAGTACAATTAAGGCTGGAATGGACAGACTTCTCTTCATTAAGGGAATCTAGGGATATGGGATAAAAGCGGGGAAAGTGTAGTTGAGGATTATCAGATCAGCCATGGTCTCATTGATTGTTGGAGCAGACCCAATGGGCTGAATGGCCTATTTCCGCTCCTACATCTGATGGTTGAAGAGTTCTTATAAAAAAGGGAGCATCTTGTCAGGATTTTCCAGTTTGCTCTCACTCTATATAAAAAATGAATTGAAAGAACTGCGGGCGCTGTGAATCAGGAACAAAAACAAAAGTTGCTGGAAAAGCTCAGCAGGTCTGGCAGCATCTGTGAAGGAAAAAACAGAGTTAACGTTTCGGGTCGGGTAACCCTTCCTCAGAACTGCTCTCACTCTATGTCTGTTATAGAGGAGCAACTGATGATGAAGGAATTTATAGACAGAGAGTGACAGAGGTTCCATTCCCTCTGTTTACACCAAGCTCAAACTCTTAACCCCAGAGATGACATTCAAATATAATGCACTGACTTCCAGCAAACATTGATTACTTGTACCTTTTCACCCCCTGGAGTCACTCACCATGTCAATGTCATCTTCAGTATGTTCAAACTCAGCTCTCTGTTCATCCGTGTGGACCTGGTGTGGCAAGGCAGTCGGGGAGGTTTTACCATTACAGTCATGGCGATCCATTGGTGAGAGCCTGCTGCTTTGGATACTGGGAGATCTGTGAAGGCTAGGTACTTGGAGAGTGTCAGGAAGGTCGAAAGAGCCCCTCATCTCCAGGGATTCCACACGCTGAGTGCCTGGCCCCCTCCCACTACCTGTATGACTGGATATCTCATCTTCTGATCCCTCGCCTTCGTCGGAGCTCTCTTTGCCATCACCCGAGAGGAGGGATTTCCGCTCGCCTGTCTGATGTTTACGCTTCACACTCTGAGCTCGGCCAAGGCTATTCCAGCTCGAGCGTCGGCTGTTCCAGCTGCTGGCCGTGCTCCAGGGCGCATAAGGGGAGCTACGTGCACTAGTCTGAAAGGAAAGTGACCCTGAATTAAAAGACCTTCTCAACAGTTCCATCTATTCGCTGAAAACAAAAGCCTGGAGTGTTGAGAAGATCACTGCATGCTGCATCACTAATTGTAAGGGCTCCCATTACTATTACTGCTGTGTTACTGATTTCACAGTGATCCATCATCACAGTCAGGTCCCTGCTGTTTCACATTTAGATTGACGTGGAGGTGCTGGTGTTGGACTGGGGTGGACAAGGTCAGAAATCACACAACACCAGGTTATAGTCCAACAGGTTTATTTGTAAACACCAGCTCTTGGAGCACTGCTCCTTCTTCAGGTGCACCTGATGAAGAGGCAGTGGTCTGAAATCTTGTGTTTTCAAGTAAACCTGTTGGACTATAACCTGGTGTCATGTGACTTCTCACCTTTTTTCTATATTCATTCATGGGATGAGGGGCATCCCTGGCTAGGCAGCACTTATTGCCCATCCCTAATTGCCCAGAGGGCAGGTAAGAGTCAACCACATTGCTGAGGGTCTGGAGTCACGTGTGGACCAGACAAGGTAAGGATGGCAGTTTCCTTCCCTAAAGGACGTTAGCGAACCACATGGGTTTTTCCGACAATCGACAATGGATTCACGATCATCGTGAGATTCAAATTCCACCATCTGTCGTGGCAGGTATTCGAACCCAGGTCCCCAGTACATTATCTGGGTCTTTTGTTTAACAGTCCAGTGAGAATACCACCATGCCATTGCCTCCCCATGTACCTTGTCCACATTTACATTGTTAGCTCCAAGTTGTCATTGTATTTTTGAAGTGGTGCTGTAGGTTAATTCCAGTGCTTATTGTTATAAAGGATTGTGTACTTGAATGAAACATTTGTTTTTGCAAGGAATGATGTAGTTGAAGGAATGTAAATGTAATAAATGGGTTGTCATGAATGAGTTTTTTTTCTGTTATAGTGAAATGTGTGATATGTGCTTAGACCTTCATTTAATAGATCTTTATTTCAGTTCATTTCCTTATGGTTTCTGAATTTTGCCTGTGGTGGTTACTGGGTGAGTTGGCAGGCTCAGTGGTGCAAAGGATGCTGGGTCGGATGAATGGATTAGCATGAAGTGGCACAAAGTGCCATTGGTGCCATAAATGTCCAGGGGCAGGCTGAGGGGCATAGTTTGACGTGCAGAGGCCTTGGAAATTGGATACAAGGAAATTAGTGCTATGAGCGATGTAGATTGACATGGAGTATATGGGAGGTTATGGGGTCTGGGTATAGAGTATGATGTAGCATGGGTTGTCTTGGATGGTCCATGGAGAGTGTGTGGTAGGGCTGACAGCTGGGTGGCTGTTTTATGTTTAGACATTTCATTTTGAAACTTTAAGAGAGTGCCGGTGCATTGAGGTAGGCCCAGCCCGAGTGGATAGTGCAGTACTCAAAAACATCAAATTAAAACAAACCTCTCTCAGATAAAGCACAAAATAAAGACTCACTGGTGACTTTTGCTCATAAAAGTTGGGATCGATTGACACGTTGCTTCCTCTGCGGGACTCGTTGTATAAATGTGCAGAATCTCCACAAAGCATTCCCTTTGGGGTTGGCATTGGCGTGGCATTGGTGTGGATGATGAGTGGTGGAGTCAGACTAGTTTTGACGTCTACGTGGCCATTCACTGCCATCACTGCAGGGGACAAAAGTGACATTAAAGTGCATTGGTCTTGACCACCTCACACCTGTAATTCTCATTTGACCCTTTTAAAAACTTTTGCATACTGGCACAGGGCTGGCATTACTGTAATGTCGAAATGTTTGAAAAATGATGGGCAAAATCTTCCAAAGCATTGTGTCCCCAGTTTTCAGCAATCAAAGACTACCTAGGGGGCTGTTACAAGCAAAACCATAGAACAAAAATCACAAGTGCATTAAACATTATTCCATTTCCCTGCATTTAATTTAAATATTTTTGACAGAATTATAAAAATAGTCATTTTCTGATCAACCTGTTCAGAGATGGTATTACTCATTTTTGGAGTAGGTGGGCATAGTGTTAAGGGCTTGGATGGAGAGGAATTTGTTAATTGTGTAGAAGAAAATTTTCTGATTCAGTGTGTGGATGTACCTCCTGGAGAAGGTGCAAAGCGTGGCCTACTCTTGGGAAAAATAAAGCAGGGCAGGGTGACTGAAGTGTCAGTGGGGGAGCACATTGGGGCCAGTGACCTTAATTCTATTAGTTTTAAAATAGTGATGGAAAAGGATAGACCGGATCTAAAAGTTAATTTTATAAATTGAAAGAAGGCTAATTTTGATCGTATTATGCAAGAACTTTCAAAAGTTGATTGGGGACCGATGTTTGCAGATAAAGGGATGCTTGGAAAATGGGAAGACTTCAAAAATGAAGTAATGAGAGTCCAGAGACAGTATGTTCCTGTTAGGGTGAAGGGCAAGGCTGTTAGGTGTACAGAATGCTGGATGACTAGAGAAATTGATGTTTTGGTCAAGAATAAGAAGGAAGCATATGTCAGGTATAGACATCAGAGATTGAGTGAATCCCTATAAGAGTATAAAGGCAGTAGGAGCGTACTTAAGAGGGAAATCAGCAGGGCAAAAAGGAGACATGAGATATCTTTGGCAAATATGGTTAAAAAGAATCCAGTGGGCTTCCACAAATATATTATAGACAAAAGGGTAACTAGAAAGAGAATAGGGCCCTTTAAAGATCAACAATGTCACCTTCATGTGGAACCGCAGGAGATGGCGGAGATACTAAATGAGTATTTTGCATCAGTGTTTACTGTGAAGAAGGATATGGGAGATATAAAACATAGGGAAATAAATAGTGACATCTTGAAAAATATCCATATTATAGATGAGGTGATGCTGGACATCTTAAAACACATAAAGGTGGATAAATCCCCAGGACATGATCAGGTGTACCCCAGAACTCTGTGGGAAGCTAGGGAAGTCATTGCTGGGCCCCTTGCTGAGATATTTGTTTATTGTTAGTCACAGATGAGGTGTGGGTAGAGTGGAGGTTGGCTAACGTGATGCCAATATTTAAGAAAGATGGTAAGGAAAAGGTAGGGAACTATAGACCAGTAAGCCTGACATTGGTGGTGGGCAAATTGTTAGAGAGAATCCTGAGTGGCAAGATTTACATATATTTGGAAAGGCAAGGACTGATTAGGGATAGTCAACATAGCTTTGTGCTTGGGAAATCGTGTCTCACCAACTTGATTGAGTTTTTTGAAGAAATAAACGAAGAGGATTGACAGGGGCAGAGTAGTAAAAGTGATCTATATGGACTTCAGTAAGGCATTTGAAAAGGTTCGTCATGGTAGACTGGTTAGTAAGGTTAGATCACATTGAATAGGAAGAACTAGCTATTTGGATACAGAACTGGCTCGAAGATAGAAGACAGAGGGTGGTGGTGGAGGCTGGCTTTTCAGACTGGAGACCTGTGACCAGCGGTGTGCCAGAAGAATCGGTTTTCATCATTTATATAAATGATTTGGATGTGAACATAGGAGGTATGGTTAGTAAGTTTGCAGATGACACCAAAATTGGAGATGTAGTAGACAGTGAAGAAGGTTACCCCAGAGTACAATGAGATCTTGATCAGATGGTTCAATGGGCTGAGGAGTGGCAAATGGAGTTTAATTTAGATAAATATGAGGTTCTGCATTTTGGTGGGACAAATCAGCGCAGGAATTATACACTAACAGTAAGGTCCTGTGGAGTGTTGGTGAACAAAGGCAAGGTTCATAGTTCCTTGAAAGTGGAGTTGCAGGTAGATAGGATAGTGCAGAAAGCATTTGGTATGCTTGCCTTTATTGGTCAGTGCATTAAGTATAGGAGTTGGGAGGTCATGTTGCAGCTGTAAAGGACAATGGTGAGGCCACTTTTGGGATATTGTGTGCAATTCTGGTCTCCCTACTATAGGAATGATGTTATGAAACTAGAAATGGCTCAGAAAAGATTTACAAGGATGTTGCCAGGGTTGGAGGGTTTGTGCTACAGGGAGAGGCTGAATAGGCTGGGGCTATTTTCCCTGGAGTGTCGGAGGCTGAGGGGTGACCTTATAGAGGTTTATAAAATCATGAGGGGCATGGATAGAGTGAATAGACAAGGTCTTGTCCCCAGGGAGTGGGAGTCCAAAACTAGAAGGCGTAGGTTTAAGGTGAGAGGGGAAAGATTTAAAACGGACCTAAGGGGAACTTTTTCACACAGAGGGTGGTGCATGTACAGAATGAGTTGTCAGTGGAAGTGGTGGAGGCTGGTACAATTACAACATTTAAAAGGCATCTGGATGGGTTTATGAATAGGAAGGGTTTAGAGGGATATGGGCCAAATGCTGGCAAATGGGACTAGATTTATCTCGGATATCTGGTTGGCATGGACAAATTGGACCAAAGGGTCTGTTTCCGTGCTGTACATCTCTATGACTCTATGACTCTATGACTTGAACCCAGCTCTCCTGGCTCAGAAGTAGGGACACTACCACTATACCGCAATGAGGTGAGGGGGAACTCATGGGGTGAGAGTGTCACTGCCTCAGCCAGCATTTACTGCCCATTGTTAAGAGTTAGCCACATTGCTATGGGTCTGGAGTCACTTGTAAACCAGACCAGGGATAGGATGGTAGTTTTCTTCCCAAAAGGGAACTTCCCCAAATGAATGAACCATATGGGTTTTTCCTGACAATTGACAATGGATTCATGACCGTTGGTGGGATTCGAACCCGGGTCCCCAGGACGTTACTTGGATCTCTGGATTAACAGTCTAATGGTAGTGCTACTAAGCTATTGCCTTCCGCCTTTGTGTTCTGATTGGCAGTCGGAAGGTGGTGAGTTATGAGGATGGGCTTATTGTATAACCAAATGGTGGATGTGCAGTGGTGGGCTAATTCAAGGTAGGAAGTAAGGTGAAGGCACTCCAAACAGAGTTGGAAACCTTAAGTGTCCTCTGTAAATAGTCAGTTTATCCAAAGATAGTGTGTATTTTACCAGTAATTTATTTTTTGGTCTGCTACAATATTGGAGAAAAATCACTAGAAATGCACCAACAATTTTCTTTATTGCGTCCCCTCTCCCTAAATCAAATTACTGCAAAACATACCCTTAGGCCTATGTGGGTGCTGCTTTGTAACTAGCTAACAGAATGTGCTGGAGAGTGGCTCAGGGTTTGATTCTCCTGTGCAGAATCACCAAGATTTTGTGTTATGCCTTTGTCTGTTCAGCATATGTATAACAGTGGTCTACTAACCTTCCCATGGTGATAGGCACCAATCCTGAAGCTATTCGCATGTTTAAAGTCCCACTGGTGCTATGGAGTCTTGTAAAGTTAGAATCATAGAATCCCTAGAGTGTAGAAACAGGCCGTTTGGCCCATCAAGTCTACACCGATCCTCTGAAGAGCATCCCACCCAGAACCACACCCCCGACCCTATCCCTGTAACCTTGCATTTCCCATGGCCAATCCACCTAACCTGCACATCTTTGGACTGTGGGAGGAAACTGGAGGAAACCCATGCATACATGGGGAGAATGGGCAAACTCCACACAGACAGCCACCCGAGGTAGAATCAAACCTGGGGCCCTGATGCTGTGAGGCTGATCTAACCATTGAGCCACCATTCCTTAGTTTGACTAAGGAAATTTGTCCTGGGCAGTGCACTGGCCAATGTGATGTGGCAAAAAGACTTAGCACTTTGGAGGCACCAGATGGGTCAGTGGGGGCTGGAAGAAAGCAGGAAGTATAGATCCAGAATTGTGGAAGGAGGTTAGAGAATCCAAACAGGTTAATGGAGTAGAACTGGAATGTCAAGCAAGTTCCAGTGTTTTAACATTTGCAAATACTGACACAAAAATCTCACTCAAATTGTGGGAAGATAGGGATGCAATTTTTCTGCAGCTTCCTGCATGTGATTAAATATACAGATAAAATACATAATCCCAGAGCAGTTAGGATGGGCAATGAATGCTGGCCCAGCCAGAGATGCCCATATCCCCCGGATGAATAGGAAACAAAATGTACGTGGATTAATGTTTTAAGAGTTTAAGTGACATTGAAGATTGATTGTTAGTTTAAAGGAATTGAAAACACGAGTCAGCATCAATTTTTAATACAATAAACCTTCTAAATCACATTGAAAGATTGCTGCCTAGATGCTGCTATCAAAAATTTGTGGATTCATAAAACTGTCACCATGCTTGACAAACCTAAAGCATTCACACAAATCTCTGCCTTTGTTGAAAATGTATGCAGCAATTGAACTTACAGGTTGTGTTTGGAAGGTCCTTTTTGCTTCCACTGTCATCTTCAAGACTCTGACAAAAAAAATCAGCCTCTGAGTCCGACTTTGAGACGTCTCCCTTGAGTGAGAGTGAAATAGAGGCTTTAAGTTGCAGACACAACATGGTGCGGAACTCGGGCACAATTCTCTCATATGTTCCCGGTCACTGACAGAAATCTATGTTCATTGAAAGTCTTAGAAGAAAGTTCAATTCAATAACGTAAATGAAGTACCATGGTCCTTACCGCAATTATTGGAAGCATCTTTAGAAAAAGCTGTTAAATAGTTTCTTTGATTTTAACTTTAGTCATGCAACAATTATTACAGCGTGCTCTTTGTGAGTAGCTCATGCAGCACCAGGTGTTTTTTGTTAACCTCATGTTAATAATACAACTGAAGAGAAATGAATTCTAGTTTTTATTAGTCCTCTGTTGGACACCTCGTTCTCCTGTCTTTCCAGAAAGTGAAGTCTCACACGTCATTCTCTCCATTCTCTACCGACAGCATTGGCAACAGTGTGCAACATCTACGATAGACCCTGGAGGAACTTGATAAGGCTCCTTAGACAGCACCTTTCAAATCCGTAACTTTGAGAAGGACAAGAGCAACAGATACATGGAAACACAATCACTTGTACGTTCCGCTCCAAGACACTCACCATCCTGACTTGGAAATATATTGCTGTTCCTTCAGTGTCGCTAGGTCAAAGTCCTGAAACTCCCTGTCTAACAGCACTGTTACTACAGTGGTTCAAGAAAGCAGCTCATCACCACCTTCTCCAGGGCAATTAGGGATGAATAGTAATTCTGTCCAATAATGCTCACATCCCATCAGCAAATAAAGTAAGAAAAAATTTTTTACCTGACAGAAAAGATAGATTCATAAAGCTAGAGGATTTCCTTTTAAACAGCATCTTTCACAACCTAAAGAAGTCCCAAAGTGCTTTACAGCTAATGACACACTTCACTGAAACTCAGTCACTGCTGTAAGCCAATTTGTACTTAGCAAGATCCAACAAGTAACAATGTGACAAAAAAAAATTGACCTCTTTCAGTAATGTTTGGTGATGGATCAATATTGGTCAGAGCTCTCGGCTCTTTTTAGAAATAGTAATGGAAGTTTTACATCCAATTAAGAGGTCAAAGAGTTTAATATCTTGCCAGAAAGGCAGACCTGCCCTTCCTTGGTCAAGGTCAGCCTGGATTTTATACTTGTGTTTCTGTCATGAAGCATGAACCCACAATATTTCGGTGTAGCTTCAGTGAGAATGAGACCCAGCCACAGTAGGGAATTTGTGTATTATTTCCACAAAATTTCAGGGTAAGAAACAAACATCTTGCAGGAAGTGGAATATATATCACACCAGTGTTGCTTTTTATTTCCTTGTTTTCATTTCTGTTGATTTTGTTGTAACTTCTGACCACTCAATACCTGCGCTAGCAGCATACTTTATGGCTAAGTTAGGAATTATCTACATGGATTAAAGTTGTTTTGTTTTGTACATTGAGAAGATGACCATGATGAATTTAAGTGTCTTCTTATTTCCCCATTTTGGTTTAAGATCATTGTCTCTTCCTGTGCCATGCTTACTGACGCTTTGGTCTTGTAACAATGCCACTCTGCAGAGAACCTCACATTGAGGGCATTAAGCGAATCATATTCAATCTCCCCTCCTCTCTCTCCTACATCAACTTCCTTCTACCTTACCATCTGGCTGTTTATTTACAATACCATCATCTCCCCATTTTAATAACTCTCCATTCCCCAGGCAACACAATTGGATGTGTCTTCCAGCAGATGTCATTTCTTGCAAAATCACCTCAGAGATACCTTGGCAAAGTGGCAGTGTTCCTCCCTGTACTGTCAGGTCAGCAGCTTTCATAGAAGACCATCTGCACTTATTACAATCTTACCAAAAATAGGCTAAGTATTAATTGTGCCAAGTTTTGTGATGGGTTTATCTCTGTGTGAGCTCTACCTGTGTTTTCTTTTTTTATAATTCGTTCATGGGATGGGGGCATTGCTGGTTAAACCAGCATTAATTGCCCATCCCTAATTTCCCAGAGAGCAGTTAAGAGTCAACTGCATTGCTATGCATCTGGAGTGATATGTAGGCCAGTATGGGTAAGGATGGTAGTTTCATTCCTTAAAGGACATTATTGAATTGGATGGATATTTACAACAATTTGCATGGTCACCAGTAACTTTCTATTCCAGATTTTTATAGAATTCAAATAAGCTAAAGTAACCAAAGTCCCAGAAGGCTGTACAGCTGCTCTCTCATTAGAGAGAGAGAGCTACTGGTCGTCTCCTGAGCATCACTATGCCTCAGACAAGGCACAAGATTGAGAAGGCAGGACATTCATGGTGACCTCATCGATCGAGGGCATTAAACTGATGATAGGGGTCATTTGCTTGCCGATAACCATGAGATAGGGCCTCAGGTAACTGAACAACTTGGAGAAAGGTTTTGATCCCCACCAGCACAGGTGCTGTCTCTTTGTTGTCTGCAGTCAATACTCACTTTAAATCTAAGAAAACCAGTTAATCTTTCCTTCAGAAGTTAATATAAGGTATGACTTTTAATGGATACGTCCAGGATAAATGAACCAGCCACCCTGTGCACTTTGCAAAGCAGTGGAAGTATTCATAAAAAGGAAGCCAGGAAAAATCTTTCAGATCAACAAGAACCAACTCAGATCAACAACAGCCAATTCACAAATTGTAGACAAAGAATACTGAGCTGTCTTTTCAGTTTTTCCTCTTCATGCATGTTCCCTTCCTTGTCTGTCTGCATGTGTGTAAGGCAATGTTTTTAACAAGATTAGAGTTTTAAATAGTAGTGTTTAATGCGAATACCTTATACTTATTTGCCTGTAGCTAGGGTCTAATTATTTACTATAAAGACTATTTCTTGTTTAGTACAGAAACGTAGTCTGTGTTGTCTATGCACCTGGATTTGAAAGTTAGGTAAATTGGAGAATATTGTGAACTCATCTTAAAATTTTTAACATTTGTGATGAATCAGAAATAGCAGGGTTTGATTTCCAGCACATTAACCAAGTGAGGTGTGACAATTCTCTGAACTCTCACACCAATGTATTTCTGAGATTCCCAAACTCTGTACTGACCCTCTCTCGCTCACACAAGCAATTTGTTCATTAGATTAATGATAGTCAAATACAAGGAAAATATGTGTAAATCAAGGAAAAGGTTTGTTTTAAACTAAACATCTATCTTTAATATTGACACTAATCAAATCTGCATTGTTACAATGATAGGGTGTCGATAATGCTGTTGATAATAAAGGTAAAGTCGCCACAGACCCAGAGGACCACAGGGGTGCTCTCTCACTAGAGAGAGATGACTGGTGGTGAGTTATTCCTGAGGTCACCACGTCTTAGGCGAAGGGAGAGATTGAGATGACAGTGCCTTTATGGTAACCTCAGCTGATACAGGAATTGAACGCACGCTGTTGGTGTAACTCTGCATCATCGATATTCCACAGAAAGGGAATCCCTCTGCATACTCACCACTTGATTTGGATTTTGATTTTATTGTCACCTGTGTCGAAATACAGTGAAAAGCTTTGTTCAACACAGTTGTAGGTGTACAAGGAGTACAGTAGGGGGCCGAGAATGCATCCTTGGGGGGGCTCCAGCGTTGAGTATTATTGTGGACGAGGTGCAGTTATCCATCCTCACTGATTGCAGCCAATGGGTCAGAAAAGCTGAGGATCCAGTTGCAAAGGGCAGAGCTGATACTAAGGTCATGCAGTTTTGAGATCAGTCTGGAGGGAATAATGGTGTTGAAGGCAGAGCTATAGTCAATGAGTAGGGCTTGATTAGAGGGATAGCACAGAACCCAAAATTCAAAGAATTTGAGTTGCAATAAACAAATTCAACTACTTCGAGTTTTCAGTTTGTCATATCATGTGATATAACCAACAAATATTGTATCCAATTATCTATCACCATGATTTGGGTTTATTTGTATACTGCTACAGTTAATTTTGCTTAAATCTTAATTTGTCAATCTGCTAGGAATTTGTTGCACAGGACTCAATTTAGACTTAATGGCTCATCATGAATTCTGACTTTTTTTAATTCTTTCATGGGATATGGGTGTAGCTGGAAAGGCTAGCATTTGCTGCCCATCCTTAATTGCCCTTGAATTGAGCGGCCTGCAAGGCCATTTGGGAGGGCAATTCAGAGTCAACCACATTGCCATGGGTCTGGGGTGTCACACAGGCCAGACTAGGTAAGGACACCAGATTTCCTTCCTTAAAGGAGATTAGTGAACCAGACAGATTTTTGAAACCATTGATGATAGTTTTACAATCACTATGACCAAAACCAGCTTTATGTTTCATGTTAATTCTGATAATTATCTTAGTTGCGGTTGCTGACCTGTTTCCTACAGGCTCTTAGATAAGCAAAATCATAATTTCTTTGCAAACATAAAGTTGTGTATGACTGCTGAAAGCATAATTGTTGCATCAGTTATTACAGTTTAAAAGAAACTGGGTAAGTTGTGACCTTTGGTCACTTGTGATTCAAACATGAGGGCAAGAGATGTAGGACTTCAGACTTCCATGGCCCAGGACCTGAGATAGAGGAAAGTAGTGAGATAGAGAATGACAGCCACCCTCATCCAAGAGAACCAATGATCCCTCTCTAACTACTGCAGGAACACCATGGCAGCAAGAAGTCAACATTCCCCACACCCTTGTCAAACTAGCATCTTACATTTAGCTGGCAAGCAGGAAAGGAATGCACTCAGTCTAAAATATTTACCTGAGGTCCATGTTCTTCTTCAACTTTCTGAGCAAGGCAAAAGGATTTATGGAACAAAATTTTAGTCAATGCTCGGAAAACTATTTGTGCAATACAATTGCTCGGTCCTTTACATTATGAACGACTCAGAAAGTGCACAAGAAATCTGAGCGCTCAGAGAGGACTGTGTTATGTTTGCACTGACAGAACCCTGCTGTTGTCCTGGTAGAAAAGCAAATGGAACAATAGCACAACAGGTAAATGACCATACTTGGTTAGGAATGAGGAAGGTGAAAGTCAAACT